GGTGCATGCCAACAGGCTTTGGCGTTATCACGGTCCAGGAAATTTCAGTTGGGACGAAGTGAACAACAGAACAAATGACACTGCTGAAGACGTGCCACCTGAAGAAGCCACCGTCGAAGAAGAAATTCTACTCAGTTTTGAGAAGGGGAACAGTGAAGCTCTTGATGAAGTTACTACCATTGATGTGACTGTTACCGATGATAGGACATTTCCTGTTGAAGCAGATGAACCCCACATGAAGCAGAAGAAGATACGTCCCTTAAAATTAAGAGACTTTGTTGAATTGTAATTTTGTGTTTGTAAATTCTATACATTTAATTAAGTTATTGTTAATTCTTTATTGGTTTAATGTAAGTGGCTATTGTTCGGGACGAACAATACTAAAGAAGGGGTAGTGTTACGACACGGGGGTCACGTAACGCTAGTAACACGTCATATTCTCGAACGTTCACCTCCCTTACTGAAATCTCGAGAGCCTACTAGATATGCAGTAGTCTTGTATATATAAACCGGTCAAAACGTGACGGCAACAATGTACTGGTAAGTGAACTGCGGACAGAGAAAGAGTATTGTTGAGTCGAGCACGTGAGACGTTCGTTGTGAATTTAGCGTGTGTTATAGCGCAACTGTTGAAATTAAGTGTATTGCAAAGTTGTATTCAGAAAAAATAAACCAGTTTTATTTAAGAAAGGACTTGTATCGGTAAAGTTTCTTCGGAAAGAATTTTTACGGAAAATTAACTAACGACTGGAGGCGTAACAATATTATATGTTTACAATAGACACATTTGTTCACACTTTTGAATAACTTTCCTGAAAGAAATTTTGAAAATCCTTGGTTAATTTTACTGTCTATAAAAATGTTCTTTTAAAAAAAATTTGTGAATTATTTTAGTTTATAGTGGTAATTTTATTTTTATATATTTAATTATGAAACTAACATTTTTCTATTGAACTGGATTCTGATATTTGTGATTTTGTACTACCTGCCAAAAATAATAAAATATAATATTAATTTTGTTAATCTTGCCAGAGGGAGCTATTAAGTGTGTGATTTTAAAGGTCTGCAGAGTTTCTTTGATCAAGTGAGTAATTTGATTACTTGTGAGTAAGATTATGATTTTTGTTGATTGAAAACTGAGTAATGTTTCAAATGTTACTGTTAGTTTAGTTATTAAGTTTGTGTCACTGGTATTCGGTGGTAGTGGTATGATATTACATATACTATGATATAGGTATTGCTATTAGTATTGGTACTACTATTACGATTTACTCTTATAGCATTACTATTAAGTACTACGATTAGTATTAGTTCTAACACTAATAGTAATACTATAAGTTATAAAACTAAATTGTAATACTATCTGCAATATTTTTGAATTTGAGCCTTAGGTTTAGTAAATTAGTGACTGATTAGTGTACTGAATTAAAAACTACCTTGCAAACGTAGAGCAATATGAGATTTATGTAAGGAGATCTTGCAAGTTACATTTATTATATAATGAAAGTTAAGTCATTTTAACTTAAGATTTCTTAAATTACTTTCTCTTGAGAAAAGAAGGATAAGAGAGGATGTTAATTATTGTTAAGGCTTACAAGGTTATCTGGGAGACCAATAGGATAAAGGCCTCTGAAGTGAAGGGCTCCGAATTTATATTGTT